CCCGCATTTTAAAACCAAAGAATAAAACCAAAACCAATATATATATATATATATTTATATATAAAACTTACAAAACACATCGTCTTCAACAAGTGTACCGTCAGTGAATCAGCCAAAGCGCCCAGTGACTATTAATACTGGATCAATACCCCCCGAAATCTCAACGCCACAATAATTTTTTTCCCCCTTGCCAGCCAAAAATTGGCGGGATTCTAGAAAACTGCAATGCCAGACACGGTTATTATCGCCAATAGCCATTCGACATCAACCCCAAAAGACACCGCGCACTGCAGTTCTCCTACCTTATCCGAACCTGGCTCACCCTTGTCGAGTTCGGTATCACCCAATAGTATCTCATCAGTCCCTCGATCGCTTGCAGACCCGGATCCCAAACTGTGCCAAATTCCTCAAAGAACCTCCTCCGATATGGAAAAGACAAACACGCCGTCGCTCCCTGGCTCTCCGCATATAGACCCCGGGGCCTGTGCCACAAAAGAGGCGGGGCTTTTGGCTGGAGTCGCCGTTGCACAGACACCAGCCCCGCCAACAGCGTCTCTATACGTGGGCGATCTTAGTCCAATGGTTAATGAAACCGACCTCTTTCGAGCATTTAGTCCTATCGGATGTATTTTATCTATACGGGTATGCCGAGATGTCAATAGTGGCAAAAGTCTGGGCTATGCGTACGTCAATTACCAATCTACAGCCGACGCCTCGCGGGCTTTAGCCACTCTCAATCATATTAAAATATTGGGAAAACCATGTCAAATCATGCCGTCTCAACGAGACCCTAACTTTCGCAAGGGCAGCCAAGGAAATATTTTTATCAAAAACTTGGATGTCTCGGTAAACGAAACCATTCTCCGAAATAAATTTCAACCGTACGGCGATATCATTGCCTGTAAAGTGGCTGTTGACGAAAAGGGAATTTCGCGCGGCTACGGTTACGTGAATTACAGTCAATCGGAGTCGGCAGAGCAGGCAATTTCCGATCTCAATGGAACGAAGTTAGCTGATAAGGTATTATTTGTGGGCCAGCATATTTCGAAACGTGATCGAATTAACAAGTTGGAAGAAAAAAGACATCAGTTTACAAATATATATGTACGAAATATCGATCACACGGTTACTCCCCGGGAGTTTCATGATCTTTTTAACCAGTATGGTACAGTTATATCAATATCCTTACCCACTAAAGACATGGTTGACCCTGGCGCTGACCCCGAAAGCCCTAAGATTACAGAGTCACAAGGTTACGGATTTGTCAATTTTGCGTCTCATGAAGACGCACTTAATGCTATCAATAATTTAAATAAGAAAGCTTTTAAAGGTTCTGAGCTTTTCGTCAGCCGGGCTCAAAAGAAAAATGAGCGTGAATTTGAACGAAAACAGCGTCACTTTTACGATAAAGCAGAACGTTTTATTAACTACAACGCTGGAAATATGGCCAATCTTTACATTAAAAACTTAGATGCCTCTATTGATGATGAATATTTGTACCAAACATTTTCGCCCTTTGGTAAAATAACGTCGGCTCGTGTGATGACTGATGATGCAAATCGATCTCGAGGTTATGGCTTTGTCTGTTTCTCAAACTATAACGAAGCCATACGTACCATCCATGATATGGATGCTACGATTCATCGTGGAAAACCTATTTCAATTTCTTTAGCTCAACGCAAGGATGTCAACCAAGGTGGTAGTGGCAGCAGAAATGCCCTTCTGGGCTACATTAATCCGTCTTTAATTCCCGGAACGTATCCAACCAGCTATCCTATTATGTACCAACCAATCCTTGGTAAAGTTGCCAATGTAATAGGTGGTCCACATGCGCCAGTACCCATACCAAATTCTATTGAAGACAGTGGGTTTATTCCAATAAATCCTAATATGCCAACCCCACCTTCATATGGATCTAGATTTCAATATTTTTCTCCTTTGCCTCCACAGCCCCTACCAGAAAGCGGTAGTGGTCCCTCACTACCCAGCCCGGCTATAGGCACAGCAGCAACGGTTGTACCTAGTATTGGGCCAAATCCTGAAATATCACCTAGTATAATCCCATATTTAGCAGGAGCACCAATTGTATCACCAATTTTAAGCTCATCACCATTATCATCACCAACCTCGCCGTCTCAATCGACCCCACCATCAAGCCAATCTACGTTTGATAGCGGAGTTTCACCCCCCAACTTGCCGGCAATGATTGGTGGCCATCAGGGTCACTCTGATATGCCCATGCGCCCCGGAAGTAATAGCAACGTGCCACCGTATTACTACTATGTGCCTTCTGTGGCACCGTATCAGTATGGCTATGGTGGTATTAATCCTAACTATCCAGTAGTTCCGGGGGCTGCACAAGTATCTGGTTTTGGTTCTAGTATGAATTCACCTTCCACAAAAACAGATAGCAAAGGTATGTCTTTTTCGCCTGCTACCAATCGCGACTACAACGACAGTAAAAATTGGGATAACACAGGCCCATTGGCTGGATCACCATCAAATATCTCGGGAATGGCAGCTAATACAAGACCACAGCTTGATCACGGATATTATAACAAAACAAAGGAAGCAAAGAAAGACAGTTTCGAAAATAAACTCAATGAAGGCAAAATTAATGGAAAGTCTACTGAGGGCGGCAATAATGATATGACTGATCTGAATGATGACACAGATGATGGTCTGATTATTTCCTTACTTCGCACATCAATTACCGAACTTGAGGACCCAGAAATTAAGAAGCAAATGGTTGGTGAAGCTATCTACCCTCATGTATTAGCCCACCCTGAAGTTAAAGGAGACATGTCGATTGCTGGCAAAATAACAGGGGTTATGCTGGATATTGATCTCGATGAGCTGATTAATTGGGTAGATCGTCAACCAAATATTTTGCATAATAAAATTAACGAAGCTTACGTGGCCTATCAAGCATATATAGGACAACAGAATTCTGACACTATCGTTTCTAATGAAAATAACATAGGTTAAAAGATATTTGCGATGATAGGAATAATTCTGGCGAAGTAGAGAAAAAAAGGAAGACTCTGGAAAGTAGTTACTTCAATTGTTCTTTATTTACTTTTATGTTCACTGTTTATTTAGCCCTCATATTTTTTTTATTTACCCTCTTTCTTTGGCTTTTTATTTCATTTTACTATCGCCGTACTATTCCTTTCTGTTAGCAAGTCAATATCCTAATTCTATTTTGGTATAAATCGTTCACTTCAAAATAGACTATCTTTGTATTCAAAAAAATACCATATATCTTTTCCTCAATAAAAAAGTTAAGGGGGCTTAAACAAATGAATGAGACCTTGTATTTATGCATATGCCTATTTACAAAAAAATAAGTGCTTGATTCTTGGTTTACCATCCTTAAATAAAGAAGCGGCACAAAGCATCTAGAAACAGACTAAAACTCATCATCAGGATGCTTTTCTTTTAACTTCTTTTCTAGCTTATTAAATTGGTCTAAATTCTTTTCTTCCTCAGGGCCTAAAACTTGCTTCACACCCTGAACTTCTTCAATATAATGCATTAACATACTTTCAATACCATTCTTGAGGGTAACTTCACTTGATTCACAAGTACGACAAGCGCCCCTTAAACATAAAGAAACCATACCGCTTTCACTGTCAAATCCAACAAAATCAATATCCCCACCATCTTCTTGAATGGCAGGACGAATACGAGTTTCTATTAATTCCTTAATCATTTCTACCACCTCTTCATCCTCTTCATTGTAGATTTCCTTGACTTTGGTCTGAGAAGCGTGATAATCAGCATTCACGATAGGTTGACCTGAGGTTAAATGCTCGGATAGTAATGAGAAAACTTCTTGTTTAAGCTGAGGCCAATCCATATCGACATCCTTCTCAACAGTAATGAAATCGGTACCAATAAGAACAGTCTTAACACCAGGAATGCTAAATAGCTTTTCAGCTAAGGGTGAATGAATAGCACTGGATCTATCAAGGAATTCCATGGTAGAGTTAGTCTCGTTATTTGGTATCAGTATATGAGACGGCAAGAACTTCAAAGCATCTTCATTAGGAGTTGTTGTAGTTTTAATATGCATCAGTCTATTGAAAGCAAAGTTTGAACCTTGAAAGACTCGAGTGTTGACGCGCATAGTCGGTAAAACGCCGCGATTAAAAGAGCTGAAACTTCTCGTAGTGGCAACTGAGTTGGTAAAACGATACATTCTTGAAGATACTGATGGAAACATTTTTCAAAATGTATTTCCTTTTTGGGTCCGTAACAGGCTAATAAGCGAGATCAAATAAATATCCAAGGTGATACGGTGCTTATTACTTAGAACTATAGTCCAGCACAATCGGTGGTGTAGAACTCCGGGCTTTATTAAATCAATTAACGTGGTATTCAAGACTAGAGCTAAATAAATTCACTGCAGGTGGGAGAATATTAAAATCGCTGATAATGTCTCCAGCTCACGTGCCGATACGAAATACTTCAATTTACCAGGCAATTTGAAATCATTTTTTAAAATCTTTATAGCTGAGGTTGATAGTATGATATTTCATTAAAAAGGAATTGAACTGTACAAATATTTGTTTAGAACTCATATATTTTATTAATTCTGACATCTCATGTTTCATAGCAGGGGTTGCGCTGACAGGGCCTTGTATTTTTGAAAACTTGAAATCAAAATCCGCTTACTTCTGATTCAAATCAAGAAAAAAATAAGCACGTACCAAAAAATCGTTAAGAAATCTCAGCCATCCATTCAATGTTCAGTTATAAACCATTACACTCCGAAGTTACTTTCGATATTTCTAATTACTTCTCAAATAAAGAGTAGGCCCGATGGTTTAGTGGTATAATTCTCGCTTAGGGTTACTAAATTCTAATTGCGAGAGGTCCCGGGTTCAATTCCCGGTTGGGCCCACTTATAAATTTGATCTCTTGGCCCAGTTGGTTAAGGCATTGTGCTAATAACGCAAGGATCAGCGGTTCGACTCCGCTAGAGATCATTGAAAGCCTAGCTAGCTCAATCGGTAGAGCGTGTGACTCTTAAAATCCTATTAATAGGAATTAAAGTCATCACAAGGTTGGGGGTTCGACCCCCCCGTTGGGCTTCATTTTTTGCACAAGGTTAAATTCAATGCGATTTTATTTTTTATCTTCCGTAAATATTATTTCAGTTTCTTCTTACCGCCCAATCATTCAGCTCTAGAATTTGGTTTTGGGAATCTTGATTGTCAACCGCACAAGGATTATCGTGGAGTTATTTGTATAAGATTTTTGACTATCGACGCTTGGAATATTGTCCTGACGTACAAATATACTAAATATAATTGTAAAGTGTGCAGAGATAGTTTAAGTTTAATCTTTCATGCTTAGAACTGACAAAATTATTGGCGCATTGTCCAAAAAAAGTATATCGAACTATCAAGCCGTCACAAGATATAATAGAGTCGATACTACAAAATGAACCAAAAAAATGTCTGCGGCCATATCCATTGGAAAGCACGATTTCCCGTCCGATCAATCATAGTTAAGCCAGTGAGAGCCTTTATAAGTACTACGGTGGGAGACCACGTGGGAACATGAGGTGCTGCAGTCTTTTTATTATTATTATTATTTCATTAGATGCAATATCGTTGCTCTAGAAACGGTATGCTAGATCGACGTATACATTCGGAAATTATGGTGCAACAAAAACTTATTTCTTATTTCTAATTTGGTTATTAAAACACCAACTATTGTCAGGGAAGCCATAAATATTATTCTCATTGTGTGCGTTTGAACAGTTACCATTATAGTTTGGTTTTTTTCATTAAAGCTAAAGTTTTTTTCGAGATAGAGCTTTGGATCGGATAAAACACCAAGTTTTTTCATAATGATTTTAACCAGTATAATTTCACATATAGGAGCTTGGATTGCCCCTTGGGCGCCAATGATTGTGGCTGTTTTTCTGACAATTTCACCTATAACATCTTATGGTGACACCTTGTTAACAATCATTCGTAATAGATCCTCACAAGGATTTTCTGTTGATTTATGTGCCATAATGCTGATCAGTTCAACCATGCGAGTGTTTTTTTGGCTAGGCCGTCCATTCGATGTTAGTCTGCTTCTCCAAGCTCTGGTTATGATTGTTACCCAATGTGGATTATTATACGTGGCACTAAAATATCGTGGTGATTCAACATCGTGGTTACCGGGACCTAGTGGTGATTCAACTATAGAAAATATTGAAATGCAAAACCTAAACAATATATACAACGTCGATGACCTTAATAGAGACAACGAATCACTGTGCAGGTCCACAGACTCGAGTAGCATCAGTCAGCGTATATCTTATATGACCTCACACCGTCCCTTTAACTTTTGGCAATGGAAGGTTACTAGTCGCTATTGGCATTTCTTGTTGCGATTTACGGCGATTTTAGCTGGTTTACACTTTCTGCTAGGAACGAATGAAAAGTATATTGCCATTATTGGTTTTACAGGGCTGTTGATTGAATCAACCTTACCTATTCCCCAGATTTTAACTATAAGGCGCCATCAATCAGTAGATGGATTCCGGATATCTTTGCTGGCTAGCTGGTTGGGTGGTGATATTTCTAAGCTGGCATATTTTATGAAAGGCGGGAGCGATATTGCGCCCCAGTTTATAATATGTGGTCTGGTTCAAACTAGCTTTGATATTATAGTGGCATTGCATTATGTTTACTATCGTTTTTTAAAATCACCCTCATCTGATCTCTCGAAGTCAAACAATCCTTTAATAGAGAATATTGAAGGTCACTCTGGGTCTAGCGCTGGACCAACTGTAGATATTCATAATGATAGACGTAGACGGTTAAGTCTCAAGCAAGGGATTCGGGATGATTAGATTAGTTATTAGTGAGATTATATAATAAATTTAACAGAATAAATATAGATCAGATAGGCAAGAATATAGGAATAAAGTCATAAAACGACTTTGGCTCGGGGAAATAAAAAAAGCAACATTGGGTATCGGTATTTGTGTTCTATCAGCGTTGACGCCACTCTATTTGGTTTTGGTCTTGTGCCAGTGTATTAACACCGGACGCAGCGGCACTGTTGATGACCTTATCAGTACTAATATGGGCATCCGACTGATTATAACCATTACCTTGACTTAACTGGTTCAAAGATGCTGAAGATATATTACTACCTCTCCCAGACATTCGCATCTTAGCGCGAGTAAGCTTATCACACCAAAGTTCAGCCTTTTGTAGGGTATCATCGACAACAGAGATTACGTTACCTAACATTTCCAAAGATTCATTGGCCAGAATAAGAACTCGGCCACCGATTTCAATATCCTGTCGGCAGCGACCTTGAGAGGCAGTAGAATTCTCATTACCCATACCCAGCGAGTTCCGAGTTGGTGACTTCAAATTTTCATAATCATTATAACTAGACGGGAGTATATTGGGTGTAGTCGCGCCACTACTGATTGCGCTCATTGATGATAAGGGTGTTTCCACTCTAGAAGACTCCTGACTACCGACTGTGCTAGTATTACTATTATTATCACTATTAAGGGTGAAGTTGGATGCCCATTGTGAAGGCAGTCGCAATATATAGTTCTTTACGTGACTTCGGGCCGGTTCTGGTAAAGAGTTACCAGCATAGGCAGAAATGACTGTTACTACCTTTCGAATGGTATTAATGACATCGGCCTTTAAGTTTAAAATTGCACTTATCTTTTTATTACTGTTAGATGTCGTTCCAGAGTTGAAGTTAGTTTCAGCATCATCAGATTCAGTAGGTTGATTTAGTAAGCCGCCACGTTCTTGGGGCACATTCTGTGACGCTATAAAACGCGCAGTTTCCTTTGATTGTTCTTCGGCAATTGCGTCTTGAAGCTTTTGAACAGTCGCTGCCAAGTGATTGTTGGCTAGTTTAAGTAAATGCAAACAGTAACGAAGACGACGACGTGATTCTTCAGATAATGAGGCTAATGAGGTAGCTGTGACTAAGACACCGTTCCAAGCTGATCTAGTTAGAGGCCGTCTTCGCTGTTGTTGTCGAGGCGGTATATCTAGAGATGAAATAGGAGGTAACCCTACATGATTAGCACTATTCTTCCCATCTATGCCCTCATCAATATTGTTATTGATATTGTCATCGTTATCGACACCTTGATAACCAGTTTTAATTACCCGCTTCACCATTTCCGCGCCGTACTTGAATCGGGGCGCCGAAATGGATTTGCCAGAGTTATATACTCGCACGGCCTTGGAGACTAAAGGGTTCTTAGACACGCGGTAAAGAAAAGCACTTGATTTGGTCCTGGGATTGTGGGAATTTTCCGAAACCATTCGCACATTTTCTATGGTAGATGGAGACAATGAAGGTATTGAAGGAGGCGGGGTTGGTGAAGCCGAATTTGAATTACTTGATACTACCAATGAATTCAGATCTGAGCCAGCTGAAGAACTACGTCGGTGGGAATAAGTTAAGTCGTGATGAGAATGCGAATAAGTAGAATAATACGGGCCCCGCGAATAGGGGGTAGTATGGTTCATGAGAGAATGGCGAACTAGTCCGCCACCACAGCTTAAAGAAGGGTTGCCCGCCGTTGTTACTGTAGGAGAGATAACAGCCGTGCTGGAGCTCAGTGAGCCTAGAGCTTGCGCCGCCAAATGCTCTTTTTCATTTTTACCTGAATGTTGTTCAAAAGGCCGTATCGTTGGAGTAAAACTCGGATAAGACATTGTACGAGAATGTGATGAATCACGAAGGGATCCCCAATTGGCATCGGATAATGGAGGGCATGTCTTACTGTTAGAATCCGAAACTGAAGAAGTAGATCTGTCATTAATCCCATTAGCCTGAGCACTATCCTTGATAGAGTTTTGATTGTAGGAGTTCCCTGTCTCTATCGTAGGGTTAGTCAGAGACTGGATACTGAGTCTGGTATCTACGGGAGGGGAGATGGAAGACATCGATAATCGAATGATAAGAAAAGGCGAAGAGTGAGGAAAAGATGAATTAGGCGTTCGCAAACGCTGGGAGGTAAAACAATAAAAGCTAAGAGCTAAGTAATATGCAGCAGCAACAGAAGTGTTGCGGAGAATCAAGCCAGACGTGGTTTTGAGACTAGAGAGAGGCGTTGATGAGCTTGAAAATGGGGAAATAAATGTACTCAACAACCACAAGAAGCACAATAAACACCAGAATATTCCTAAATGACCTAAGCTTTGAAAGCTTTAAACTATGCAGCTATAGTCCTCCGAGGATAAGTAATAAAGAAAAGAGAAAATATAGAATGCAAGATGAAGAATAGAAAAAAAGGTCTGCTCAGAAAGAACGGCTCTCACGTTCATTTTTTATCCTCGTTCAGCATTATCCTGGAAGTTGGGTTTAATGGGAGTATTCACGTTCTTCAAAAATAACTATGAGCCACGATCACGTGGGATTTTTTATTGTCCCGGTCCCAACATTTGATGGCAGTTGAGCAGAGCTCAGATCAACCCGATAAGCCCGAATTGGAGATTTTAACTGCTTTTAAGCATATAATAGAGGAATTGAGATGCTAAAATTTACCGGAGCTCGGTCTAGGGTTTACAGCCTAGGAGCCAGACAATTGCTATGGCCCCTGGGACGCGGTATATTTTACCGTAAGCTACATATCATCAAGGCCGGGGTGAGTTCTGTCACCCCCGCCTTGAATGGACGGTTGCGTGACGATGCCCGTCTTGAGACATCTGCGGACGATAAGAGAAAAAATACGGCCCCGCTCATTGATCACAATCCTGCGCCTTTAGCTTCTTTTTCGCCATCCAAACTAGTGCGCTCACTAGATAAATTCAGATCCTCTTTGACCAGTCTAGCAGAAAGAGATGACCGGTGCCACAATAAGGATCTCATTGCATGGATCGATACACTTTTAAACACTTTACAGCATCCAAACCGTCCTCTAAAAGTCTTGGTTATTCCCTGGGGTTGCACAAAGCAACAGATAACTGACGTCGTTAACTCCCTACTGACAGAGCCCACCACTATAACCCATCATTGGGTGCGACCGTATTTGAGTAACCGCTCACTTCGGGCTGAAGGAAATCGTTTATTGGTAACTTTTGCCGAATCAGCCAAT